ATAACTAGTGTATCATATATATAATATATAATAAATGTTCTATAATATAATAAATATATTTAATGTAGTATTGCATACTATTTAAAAAAAGGTGAAAACTGAGTTTTTGAAATAGATATTTTATTCCAATGCCAGAAGCTTTAAAATAAACACCAATGTCTCAGGACTACCTCTAAAATCACATAAATTAGCAGTCCTGAAGATGCAAGATGAAGAGAGAGATGTAGAAAAAATAAAAGACAGGATTAGCACTGAGAGGTTTAAAGATTTGTGGATATTGACTTTGAAGAAAAAATGGGCTAGGAATAGTAATATCTTAAAGGTGAACTAACAGTCCCAACAAGAACACACAAGAAAGTCTTTAGTGGAAGGGTAAAATAGAAGTGAAAACAAATTCATACAGGATAATATATGGAAAGTGGCTACCTTGCATAACAGCATAGAGACCCTTTCTGTTAGCTTACAACTTGTTATTCTTGGTCTCTTGAAGGTCCTTCTTGATGTCTTGGCATCCTTTTATTTCTATTTTCTGCTGCCTTTTGGTAGCTAACATTCAGTTAAATCCTTCCTTGTGTCTTCTCTTTTCTCTTGCCGAGGAAAGCAAGAGCTCTCAAGAGCTGTCCTCTTTCTTGGAAAAGGATCTCTCCATTCTTATTTCAGTTCCACCCCATCTTCTTGATGAGATGTTAGTGATTTTTCAGTATGGGCAACTCCTTTCCTTATTTCTTTTTGTCTTCTTTGCACCTCTCACCAGTTTTCCTTGAAACTCATTTAAGAAAACGGAGGAGCTGAATAAAGAGGTTAGATGAAATGACCTCATGATACTTCAACTCTTCTTCTGAAGACTGTGATTTGAATCATAATATTTAGAAACCACAGATCCTTACACTTTAACTTTTATGGCTACGCTCTTTTCCAAGTTTCCTTAAAAATATTGAGAAACATCTGTGATTCTCTGCAGGAAACCAACCAACCAAACAAACAAAACCAACAAAAACAAAAACAAAAGTGGGAGGCAATTGATTTTCAGGCTAAAATACATAGCATTCTACCATATTCTGTGCTGTTGAAGGAATGTAGTGACTATATACTCCAAGGCAGTATCTTAATGCTTTAGCTTTTTTAATGTTGTGTTTGTTTGTTTGTTTGTGTGTATGCATTTTTAATTCTGAAATCTTATACCACTCACTGAGGAGTGACAAACACAAGTAGAGATTTTTTCTTTTAGAAGATGTTATAGTTAGGAATAAATTTCTGGCAGCTGCCAAACAGACCTTTCTGTGCTACTGCCCACAACAGAATGGTACTTTCTCATAACATTACTATTTGTGAGATACACCATCAAGTGTAACATTCTTGCCCAAACATATCTTTGGAAAACAAGGCTTTTACTTATTTATTTGTTTATTTATTTATTTATTCTGTTAATCCTGCCTTATATTGATGTATTTCAATGGATCCATTGAAGAAAAAAATAGTGACAGTAGTCTTTGTTTCCTCTGTTCAGCTTTTAAGTGCAATCCTTTCTGCTAATTACACAAAGTTTTCACACAGTTGGGATTTTCTCACTGAAAAAGTACTGAGATTAATTTGAGAGAAAAAAAAAGCTTCTTCACTATAAAGTAGATGTTATTCTTCAACATACTAGTGTGTATGCTGATAACATATTCTAAATAGTATGCTGCTAAATTTTCATTTACTCTCAAAACAAAGATGAAAATAGGAATACTCAAATGAAAACAGTTGTGTATGTTATCTGCTATCACTGTGAGGACATTACACTGAACAAGCAAAAAACATAGCCTTGATTATAGAGGTTGATTGAAACATTTTTTTTCAGCTGCTTTGTTTGTATTTAAAACTTACCCTGATATTTCAATGTGACTGAAAAAGTCAAAATAAATTCACAAATCCACTTTTTCTTATTGGTATGATGGAAAAGATATTTCATAAAATCCCATGGGATCTTTCTGATAAAACTCTTGGATATGACACACAATGATAATAGATAAAGCAGCAATAGATGAAATGGCCATGAACAGAAAGAAAGTGATTTTGTGTTTAAGATGCATGGATGATGATACTCATTTGTCTGAGAAGTTGATTAGACCTCATAATGCAACTGGCACATCAACAGTCAGAATTTAGATATATGATTATATAAATATAAAAGAGAACAAGTTTAAAACATCATCACTGTGAAGAGGTTGTTATAATGAAGTATAAAAGTCCATTTATAACAACTAGATGAAATCCAAAATACCAGTGTATGCACTCTAGGATGTTTGCTCTCCATTGTCCTTGAGGCCTCAATACTAGCTGCTCCCTCCCTTCTTCTCTCTCACAAGTTCTGCTTGAGGTGTGACCCTCTGGATCCTTTCACCATCTCACCATCTTCTGCTCTCTACATCCTGCAGTCCCTACAAGTTCTTCTCCTCAAGAGACCCACGTGCTCCCCAGGAAAACTGAAGTTTCCTCTATTTCAGAGGTGCTTCATTGGGAGACACAGAGTCAGTAATGAGGCTGACAGGGACTTCTAGAGACTGTCTAATCCAGCAGGCTGTTCAGGGCTTATTCCAGTCAGGTTTTAAACATCTCCAGGGATGGTGATTCCACAGCCTCTCTGGGCAACCTTTTACAATGTTTGATGACTATCGCAGAAAATAAAATAAAATAAAATAAAATAAAATAAAATAAAATAAAATAAAATAAAATAAAATAAAATAAAATAAAATAAAATATTTAGTTTTTATTTCCTGTATTCAGTTTGTGCCACCTGGTGCCTCTTGTCCTGTCACTGGAACAACTGAGAAGACTCTGTCTCTTCATTATTTTCTCCCTTCTACCAGGCATTTTTGCACATTGATAAAATCCCCCCTCAGTGTCACCCAATCCACCCTTCAGAAGGGAGTATAACACAACTGGGAAAAACTGACAATTCAATGTAGAGGATCTCACAGATTGCTTTTCTTTTTTTTATTATTATTATTATTATTATTTTTCAAATACATTGAAACACCTAGATGAGATGTCTTATCTGACTGTTTAAAATATGACAATTCAAAAATATTTGCAGCCCAGAAAAGAAAGCCAACCATACTCTAGGCTTAATCAAAAGAAACGTGGTTGAGGAAGGTGATTCTCCCCCTCTACTCCTCTCGTGAAGACTCACCTCACTGCATTGACTCAGGCTGTCAAGCACAAGAGAGACATAGATGTGTTTGGCTGGGTCCAGAGGAGGGCCACAAAGATGATTAAAGGGCTGGAGCACCTCTCCAAAGAAGAGAGGCTGAGATAGTTTGGGACATTTAGCCTAAGAAAAGAAGGCTCTGGGGGGACACTATAGCAGTCTTCAAGTACCTAAAGGGGTACTGGAAAGACAGGGAGACTGTATCAGTAAGTGTAGTGACAAGACAAGGGGTAACAGTTTTAAACTAAAAGAGAGAAGGTTTAGATTACTTATAAGTAAGAGATTCTGTGCTATGAGGTTGGTGAGGCACTGGAATAGGTTTCCCAGAGAAGTTGTGGATGCCCCATCCCTGGAAGTATTCCAGACCAGGTTGGATGGGGCTTTTGGCAACGTGGTCTAATGGAAGATATACCTGCCTGTGGCAGGTGGGGTGGTAGTAGGTGGTCTTTAAGGTCACTTCCAACCCAAACCATTCTGTGATTTTATGATTCTATAAATGATTTGTTCTCTCACTAGCAGACATGTGTGTGTCCAATCAGACCAGATCTTCCCATAAAACTTTTTACTTTCTAACAAATACATATTAAGAATACAACTGTTAAGAATCCCAGAAAGGTTAGGATTCTAGAAAGACTTCTTCAGCTTCAAGAGATGCATGCCTATTGCTTATTTACCAAAGGAGATTATTTATAAGACCCTAATAGCTAGTACCATATTAATAAAGTACCATAAAGAACTAATTAGTTATAAACCATATTAATACCATAATTATTATGGTGTTATAATTATTAAAGATAATTATCTTTATTTTACTTCAGTCTGATTAAATAATAATAATAATAATAATAATAATAATAATAATAATAATAATAATAATAATAATAATAATCTGAAGAAAAAAATGATTAATATTGGATTTATTATAAACACTTCAGTTTACATGAATAGAGTTCTCCAAATACGCAAAGGTAAACTCAGCTATGCAAAGTTGGTGGGAAATAACTAGTTTTGCAAAGGCTAATATTGAACAGAGATATTACTATATTATATCAATTCTTGAGGCTTCCATAGCTATTCTAAATGTGATAGAAATACAAGTTTAAGAGGGTTCCAGGTGCATGGTTCTGTTTTCAGCCATGATCAACTGATTACTCATCATCATCTGTTACAAGCCATGATCAACTGATTACTCATCATCATCTGTTACAAGCCAGCTGTCAGCTCACAGGGAGATCATTGAAGTTAGTTTGGCTGAGCAAACAGAGTTATTTCTGAACTGAATGTCAATGGGTTTCCAAAGCAGTGAAAGTAATAAAAGTGGTGATGTCAGTACCAGCAATCAAGCTGTAGACAAGCATTATTTCACTGCTCTAAATCATATTAAACCATTGCTTCAGTTAACAATGAGACAATTTCTGCTCCACAGGTTCAAGCTTCTGCTTGTATAGCAGGACAAAACTGTTATTAGTAGATCAGAAACAGAGGGGAACTGGCTTCAAGAAACACAATTTAATGGCTTCATTTGTCTACTTTTATTGAAAAGAGAAAAATATATTATTAAATTAAATTCAGTGTTTCTTTTATTGGTTTCCATCAGTCTTTACAGTGGAAGCAGGAAGAAGGCTAAAACACATGTGGTAATACCTCAGCAGATAGAAGTACCTATGCTATTGTCTATTTGTTCTGTAAATGTAGATTCACTTAGACACATGTTCCTGTAGATCCTACTCATGAATGGCAACTCTAGTGCTTTGTTTAGTAAACAGTGACCACACTGAAAGTGCATACAGCTTGTATAATTGATAATTACCTCCATCACATTCGTATTTGTGATTTCCAAAGAAGCTGCAGGTTGTCTGGAGTTGCTGTGCATTTCTCAGCTGTATGTTTGGAAATGTCAGACACAGTAACAAAGTTCTTAAATTCTGCCTCGACAAAGGAATACATTCAGGAAACTCCAGCACCTCCTCCTGTCATGAGTCACCATGAACAAGACTGAAAGCAGCAGGTCACAGGTTAGATAAGAGCAAAGTGAGTTTGAATCAAAACAGTTCTGAAAACTTGTATCCGTATGGGACTGTTTAAAGATGAAATTCATATTGAAGGTCAAAAAAAATGGAAGTCTGTAAAAAGAAATTAAAAAAAAAAAAAGCTTGACAAATATTTAAAAACAACTTTAAACATCATAATTCTGAGGTCAACACCATACTCCTGTGAATAGTCTGAGTCATGATTTTTTCAGCCTGTAGGACTGATAGCTCTACAACTCTAACATGATCTGTAAGTTTCTGTGCTATTGAAAAAGGAGTATTTATTACTTTCAAATGCTCATGGATATGTACTTTGTTCATTACTTTTCTAAAATAATGTATTGATATGCTAATTTTTCTTAGGGCTTTTCTCTGCCACCACCATTGTAAGGGTCAAAGTGAAAGGCAATGTTTTAGTATTAAACCAGGAACTACTGTAGAAAAACTAGCATTAACTCTCTCCTTTTGCACTAAAAGTCCATCAATGCCAACAAATCTATCGGCCAGGCTTTGAAATAACAGAATATGTAAAATATAAGTGTTACTGAACATGCTTCAAAAATAATCTCTAAATGTTATTCATTTAGATTAAACAACCATCTGGCTGTCTTCTTAAGAACTTGACCTAATTGCAAGGTGGTCATTTAACACATGTTTCAGAGTGATATTCAGGTAGATGAGGTTACCAAGAAAAACATCTGTTTTATATCACAAATAATAATTAAAGTTAAACAATTAAAGCAGTCATGTGCCTCTGGGATTTGTATGGAATCCCTCATTAAAATTCCACAGACCAAATCAAGGTATGACTACAGTTCATTTTCATGCCACTGATGAGGCTTATTTGCTTTCTGGCTACTGCTAAATCATTCCAGTAGGAATCCTACAGACAGCTTAGCATAATCAAATATATTTCAGTAGTCTACTACCATATGTAGACACAAGAAGGAATTATGTTCTTTAAGGACCAGTAAAAAAACAGAGATATATAGAGTATCCCAGATGCCCTTAAGACAGAAAGTGCTTGAGAAGTTTCTTACTTATTTTTAGTAATAACACTTATGGTGTTTATCCTATATCGGTGTTATTGAGTAGTGTGCAATGAGAAATGGCAAAGGTTTTTCAGTATGTTTTTTTACCTTGCCCTGTCATCTTCCTTCTCAGTTAAGTGGCTGTAAGAATGTATTCTTTTAGAGGAAGAAATGAGTAGCTGTTTCTGTCCCCCACTTCTTGCTCTGTTGAGCATGTAGTTACAGGGCAGTGGCATTCCCAGATACAAAGTATAAAACAATATGTTAAAAGTCAGATAATTCCATAGTAAATAGTTGTAAACATTTTTAATAAAAGTAAATAGAAATTACAGGCTGAAAAATAAAGTCAATAGATTTCTGTTCTGCTTTGATTCTTGTTCTGTATAAATGGACAACTAAGCAAGATTTAGCAAATATTAAGTAGCTTCTGAATGCCACCAAAAATGTATTATTAAAACAAAAAATGAAGTTTGAATGGACATATTTTAACTGATTCTAATAACATAAATAAATAAATAAATGCATACTTACATAGTAGCAATTGTCATTTGGAATAAGTATTGTCTTCTGCATCCAGAAGACCTATTTCTGAGAAAGGAGCAAGAAAATTCAGAATAGACAGCTGTATTTGAACTTCTGCTTAGATGAAGTTTCTTTGATAATCAGAAGACAGGATACATCCTGAACCACTGGAATTCAGGCATTTTATTTTTATTTATATTATTTTTTTATTTTTTTGTCTGTATGTTTCAGCTATGGAAATTTTTATAAAGCCATATCACAAGCCTCAGTGGTATACTAATACTGGTATAATAATATATTATTTTTCTTCTAATGAAATCTTTTGGCAGAAAATAATTATGATGTGGCACAAATGTAGAGGTTTTTAAAACCAGTTTGGAGAGTTAAGTATATTAATTTAATTGAATGGCTTTATTATTACTATTCTAGGACAGCAGGATTCCACTTATATTCTTGGAAGTGTTTAATTCTTTCCTGTTTCTTCCTTGTCCTGTTTCAAGTCAAATAAGTCATAGTCATCTTTTTTTTTTTTTTTTTTTTTTTTTTTAATATACAGTAGTCCTTATTAGGACTACTGTATATTAAAAGTTATGCTTCTAATGCATAGTTAATGCATTAGAATTAATGCATAATTCATGCATAAAAATTATTTCTATTTGCTGAAAATATGTATTTTAGGGCAAATAGCAGAGTACAGTGAAAATTCCAGGTGAGAATATGTTGTTGTTTCTATGATCTACATTATATAAATTATATTCAGGCTTATTTATTGATTTATTCTTATTTTTTTTTAGGTTTTATCTATTCTTCATTAGTCCTGTGGTTCATTTCTAACTGTGCACAGTAAGAAAATGCTTTTGCTGAGCAACCTAGAGAGGCACACTGATCATTCTTTTGATATATTTAAAATTCAATATGTGAATACCATTTTTTTCTCTCCACTGGACACTTTCTTGCATTTATGAACAGTAAAATTTACATGCCAACATTTTGCCCACTTCTCATTATGTCTGAATTTATGTAGAATCTTTTGTATCAATGGAAGAATTCAACTCACAGCTACATCATTATAGGACTGTGAGTAAGTTCAAGGACTCAGTATCTTTTCTATAGCTGATAGCTTTTTGTTCTCTAGTTTACTAGGTGATTTTTAACCAGAGATCAGGTTTTTAGGTGTGTGGTCTTTGATTGTGCTTTTTTGTTGTTGTTGTAGTTGTTTGCAGAAATAAAATAAAATGTCATTTTGTTTTTAGCTTTCCCACTGAGTTCTGAAATATTTAGCAAGCCAAATACATAACTTTGGATACTGTTGCCCAAGGAAGAAAACTTCACACGCCAACATGTAATAGGAACTACTTTTAATGTTTTTTGTTTGTTTGTTTGTTTGTTTGTTTGTTTTTGTTTTTTTAAATCATTTTTCTGTAGTTTTCTTTCTTGTTTGATTACTTTTGGTCCGTGAGTCAATGAGTGACTAATGTAGAAAGTAGATGCTCTTGGAATCACTACAGGGGGCCAAAAAGCTGTGTCACAAATTCAGAAATCAAGGTGTTTCTGGAACTAAAGAAATATGACATGACTTGTCTGTTTTCTGAAAGTCAGCATGTAAGAAAAACTTTTTATTGAGCACTGATTATTTTACAAACTACGTGGCAGGCATATCACAAAGCTGGCTTATAAAGAGAAGATAACATATTCTTATAACATATTCTTAACACATTCTTAAGAAAATTCGTGGTTCCAGGCTATTCAGGATAAAAAGTGCATGTGCTATCTTCAGTCTTGAGTCTTTACATTGCCAGGAAGTAAATAGACTTTATCTATTGTGAATAAAAGGAAGATTCTATCTTATCTAGGTTTCCGTTTCACCTGTCATATTTCAGACTTGTCATATTTTTCTTAACAAAAGGTATCTATCCCTTCTATGGGGAAAAAAAAAAAAAAAAAAAGGAGGTGAGTCATTGGTCTTTGGGTCTTTGGACAGTGTATCCCCCTGAGTGAAAAGGTATGTGTCTTCTCATTCTGTACCACCTGCATGAAGTGCCAGACAATTGCTGCCATGGTTACGGTACTACTCACCGGCTCCTTTTTCTGAATATTGTCTGCCTACATTTTGCAGTGTTGAGTGTACTGCTATGGATTATGGTTCTTGCACAAGAGAGCGAGTGGCACATAGTAATTATGCTGGTATGTAAAGGATATTCCAAGTGTGTCTTGTGCTTAAAATAAAACATTTTAGTAGTTTAATGCAGAAGGAGCTCTTTTTTCTATCTTTTGAGAGATCCCGCTAAATGAAGCATACATTTTCACTCAATGTCCAGAATAACAACACACAAAGTAGAGCTCTGTTCATCTTCCACAGCAATAAAGAATACAGCACAGAACTTAGGTATACTGTGGCTTGAATATGAATGGACAGCCACTTGTCTGAGCTTGAGCAATTTTACTGAAACTGATTGTGTCTGGATAGGCACGAACCAGGCTTTACCAAGACCTATCAAAATCAAACACAAAACTTTTGTAGCTCTCCATGTCTCTGGAACAGTATTAAAGATTAGATAAAACAGACTTGCTCATCCTAATTGCAATGGGTAGATAAAGCTATCCATCAGTTTGTAGCCTCACTAATGGTGCTAACAGCCCTGGGACCCATGACTGAATCACTCATGGGGTGACCACAGTCCTACATACCAATAGAAGCTCTGTATAACATTTCCTGATATGAATTCTCAGACTATCGCCACACAGTTAATGGCTTTGGTAGCCCCAGATCTTAGAAACCACACAGTACAGGGCTAAGTCTTGACAAGCCAGAGAACATAAAACTAAAGAACGGAACCTATGCATTAATAAGTCTGTTGAAGACATGCATGTATATATATATATATATATATATGTACACATATTTATGTATACATATATACATTTGTATATACATACACACACACAAAATATCTATAATGGAACTATTAAACTGAAAAGATATATTTGTTTACATAATACATTGTGCAAAAGCACATTTTCTGATGCATTTAATCTAATCTAGATGTAATCCTTTTACTTAGTTCTGTCTGTTGAGGCTTTTCTGCTATTCTGCTTTGTTTTCATGGTTGGAACAAACTAAATTATCATGTCTATTTCTTCTTTCATTGGGACTAAGAAAAGGAAACTTTCTTTCTGAGGCAGACTATTACATTTTAAAGCATATATTTCCTTCACTGGTGGCTTTATGCAGAAAAGCTGAGCCTGCGGGATAAGAACCAGATGGAAAAAAAGTTTGGTAAGCTGTTCCAGCTTTAACATTCAGTACATATTCAGACAATTTTTGATGAATTCGCACAGCTATAGGGAACAACATATATTATGATGTAAATGCCATCAATATGACATATGCTTAAAGTTCTGTGTATAAATAAATAAAACATATTGAAAAGCCTGCTGCTTACCCCAGCTGTTTATTTCTCACAGTGTATAAATGCCAGAGAAAAAGTTTTTTTTTTTTTATATATATAAAAAAAAAAGCCTGCTTTTGCAGTGTTTTCATACCAAGTTTGAGTCATAAAGCAATTAGTAATCTTAAATGAAGATTCTTAGCTGGATTCAGGTCAAGTCCCCTGAATGAATTTCTATTTGTGCTGGAAAAGATGCAAAACCTTTTAACATCAAACTGACTGAAAATTACAACTTCATTTAAAAGTGCATCCTGACGAAAAGATGGTATATTTTGGCAGGACATTTTTGGGAACTGATAATGATAATTAATGGATGGATGGATGCAGCTATTCAATACCTTATTGGGATCAGTGGAAAAAGCTTCAGGTGACATCCACAAGGTCTGCATATATTCTCAAAGTCAGTTGTCTTTACAGGTGATTCAGTGACTGAAAAAAGGAGTAAGTACAGGTAAGTATGAAGTAGAAAGTAGGTAATTGTTATCACTTGCTGGAAAATGCATAACAACTAACAAAGAATACCCATTAAGACAGTTATCTGTAGTAGTTAAGAAACAGTTATAAAAAATAAAAATCCAGTTCTTCAGTTTTGAAATAAAATGTCAATACTCAATAACCACAAGTTTAGGAAAAACCTTATTCTAGCTTCTTGATCTTTCAAAGAAATTTAGCTTCATGTAAATGTTCTGGAAACAATGGTCATCTCTTTTACTGAAATCGGGGTTTAGTCAAGTCTCTCTGAAAGAGAATGATCCTGCTGCTGAAAGTCTGGGAGTTAATGACTAGGTTCTTTGTGGCTGATTGTTATCAGAAAAGGTTTGAAGTAGCAGAACTGTTTTTATCTGTTGTTGTTGTTTTGTTTTTTTTTTTTTTTTCCCCAGTAGCAGTTCTTCATTCTAACTAGGTGTATTTGCCTAGCACAACCTTAATCACTCTGTTTATTTTTTAGTTTCCGCTTTCTTCTTTACTAGCAGTGAACCAGGTGGTCCAGAGGTGTCTTCTGATCTAGATTATACTATGATTGTATAAGATTTATTGTAATCATAGTTACATTTGGAGAGTTCATCATCAACTGGATTTCCAAGTACTGTCATCACACAAATAAATAACAATACTGCCAATGCACTGTGGTAAATATATAAAAAAGCAAACAAAGCAACCTTGAAAAAATCTCATCATTTCTTTGCAGAGAAAGATAAGTTGTTTATTTTGTATTCAGCCGGCAACAGTGAGTCTCATTTGGAGCATGAAGTTTCAATCTCTTTGCAAACAAAGGATAAAAGAATTACTTTCCAGTCTGGATATTGATTAGGGTGACTGCTATATGATTCTTTATGCAGAGTATAACAGAAAATAGAATTTTACAACCTTCTTTCTCTTCAGACTCATGAACCCTTTTTTTCTGGCAGAAGTGAGAGAGTAAGTGCAAGAGTAAGAGACTGCTCCCTTGAGCAGCAGGTCAAATTTATTCAAGATTAAAGTGTCCAGTAGTCATGGCCTAATTTTAGGCTACTAGTCATATTTTATATTGTATGCTCAGAACAGTTTGTATTTTCTTCCAAATGATGATTGAAAAGAATTTGTTTCTCAGAAAAGCAATTTATGTAAAGTTGACGTTAATTGTGTTTAAATAGCAAGACAATAATTCTTCTTATTCTGAGTTTCTACCTCTTGGAACTACTTGTGAGCTATATCAAATGCAGGAAAAAAAGTTGTAGGTATGTATTCATGTTAAGAGATTACAATTCAAACACTTCATTTCCTCCCTTCTTGCTATTATAGGTACCAACTTATTCCTCTCAGCCTAGAACTAAGATCTTACAGCTATAAAATCCATCACGGAATCTGTCAACATGTTTTCTGAAAGCCTGAAAAGAAACTGAGTATTTTGATGTCTTAGATGAGACACATCAAGATCTCAAAGATGTTTCCAAACGTTTGCAAGTTTCCTGTATCTCTTTTACAAGAAGCTACCATGTTTTCTGTGTAGAGAAAATGTCAATTGATGACAATGTTTTAATTCTTTTAAAAAAAATGAGAACTGTTTAGAGATACAGAAATCCCAAACTAGGTATTTCAAAAGAGAATAATAAAATGCTAGCCTTATTTAGAGAAGAATCAGCAACACAGGATGTTTTCCTTTAGAAATTTTTGACAAATGCCTTGTAACCATAGAAATTATTTCAGAGACAGCAGGAGTAGCTAAAATAGATTAAATTAATGTGGTAGGCTCACTTTTTCACAGCATGTTTCACTTTAATTGATTACACTATAGCCAAACTTAAATTACTAATATCAGTGCAGATAGAAGAAAATGAATATTTAATAAAATCCATTTGTGCAGTTGTAATAAATTAACCTATTTGAATAAGCTATAATTTGCAAAAAGCTTTTAAAGAACTTGTTTCTACCTGGAACATTCTGTTGTGGAACCCTTAAGTATGAAAAGAAGAGCAATACATAACAATTTAACAAACCAGAGAAAAAAATTTATGCAACCTTGTATTCATTATTTAAGGATTCAATATGATATTTCTTTTGGAAAATATTTATCACCTTACTAATATTTTACCCTTGGTTTTCAGCTGCAAATGTTCTTTATATAGATTGGTGTAAGAGGAAATGAATGCCCAAACCAATATCCATTCAGTTTCAGCTGTAAAATGGGGGAGAATTAGTCGATAAAAACCTGTAATTGTGATTAATGCCTATAGCTGAGCACAGATTTATGGTTCTTTGGAGTACAGAAGCTCTTCTTTGCAGGTAGTCTTAATAGAATAAATCCATATGTGTCCCATGCAATGATTAGAGTTAGAATAATCAATAAAGGAATTAATTTTGACAGGCTAGATTTAGTGTCCAATCATGAAAGGAAAATTAGAACATGATACAGGAAAACCTGAGTAGCTAAGAAATGTAAAAAAGCATTCCAGCAACAAGGAATTAGAAACTAGAAACATGATATGAACAACAGAGGAAAGAATGTTTCCTCATGAAGAATGCTTCATGTTAGCAAAAATTCAGGCTTATTCTCTTAATTTTCAGAAGCCAGTTTCTCATACTCTACTTTAGAAACCTACTTTTGTAGGATTTTCTTTTTCTTACTCTTTGAGGAAGTTAATGGCCTTAGCATAAACTCCCATTGACTGTGATTTAGCTTGGAAAATACTTTGTGAACATGAGCCTCAGAAAAATCTGCTAGTTTATATCTTCACAATCTGTGAACCCAGCCTTTGTTTCATTGTTTGGTCTTTATTTCATTATATTTATCTAATTAATGACACATCATCATTTTAAGTTTTTTGTTTGTTTTGTTTGTTTAGTTTTCTAAAAGATACTCTTCTCTGCCTGATTTGTCCGTATAATACCACTGAACTTTAAAATGAGAGAGTGAAGCAAGCAGATGAAGAACACATGCTTTACTAGGTTCTTTAAATTTCTCTGTATTTTTGTTTGTGTATTGCAACACACACGTGCACATGTCAGGATAGCAGTACACAAGAATTCTAACTCTTCTCAAAGACATAAAAGGAATTTACTCATAACTTTGCTGCTTTCACACAGTTAAGTAAATCCAGTAAGGATTTTTACTGGGCATTGAGAGATATTAAAACAATGTCCAGATGATTAGGTAACCTACCTATAAAAACTGCCATCATTTCACCAAGTTAAAAGTATTGGTTAGTCCATTTATAGCTGTTTCATCATCAATGCCACTTCATCATTCATGAATAACTGAGCTCTGTGATTTACATCCTACAATGTTTCATTTCTGATAGTTTGTTACCGACCAAATGTTTTTCGCTAGACATATCTTTATAGAATAGCTCAAATTTGCATAGTTCTTTCTATGAAAATGCACTAAATGCAACTTGTTAGTTGTTTTGTAAATATCTGTTATTGTATTCATTTGTTTTGTTGTGTTTATTGAGGAAAAATAAGGAGTGAACTGTAACATGTACCATATACATAAAATGGTAAAAAAAGATCATCTTATGATGGAGACATCTAACTGCATAAAAAATCTTCCACCTACATGTGTTTTATTCTCTGTTATTTCAGTACAGGTATCTAGATATATCTACATATATGTAGATATATGTACAGGTATATCTAGATCAGGACACTGAGAATAGCTTCTCCTTACCTAACCTAGGTGTGCAAGTTGTTTTTCCCAGTATTCAGATGAGGGCATTGCATCATAGGCAATGTGCAAGTTAGCCAAGTCTAAAGAAATGTCATGCTTGATCTGACAGTATGTCTTGGTGTGCACAATCAGAATAAAAGCAACCACGGAGATTGAATATAAACTGTATGTTTATTTTGAAGTGCTTTAAGCATAAGATTGAAGACTTTACTGCAGGACATATGAGAGCTATTTTTTAAATAATGAATGCTTTTGCAACATTAAAATATAATTACAGTTCACAAAAGTGAGTAGATTTAATTGAAGGATTTCTACTGAATTTCAGTAAAGTCTGTAATATATATATGTACATATATATATATTAGTTACATGGGTATATACTAAACTAATAAAAAAACAACCGCTTCACAGAACTAGGAGATATGTTCAGTAATATTGAAAAAAAGGAGAAGCAGTTTTCCTAGGGGAAAAGCATATGCGATTGAAGCCACCACAGCCATAGAAAAGAAGAACATTTTTTTCTAGAAATTAGATGGATACAGCTGCTTCTGAGATGCTGAAAAAAAAAAAAATCACAGAAATGTTGTTTGTTTGTTTGTTTGTTTGTTTGTTTTTAAATATTTAACCAATTACACATCAGGGAAACTATTCATGGCCTTCACATTCCTATTTATTTATTTTTTTTTTAATGACATCAAGAAGAAGAAGTTCCCATCTCTTTAGATGAACAAACAAGTTGTGTGTGAAAAACAGCTAAATTCAGCTAGTGATTTTCTGTCCTGCTAATGATACTACCAAAAGAATGAGCAATCAATATCATAACCACTCAAAAGTCACACTACACAAAGTGGATATAAAATATTGAAGAAAAACTAAATTATGAAATGCAGCCATGAAATACAGTGAACATTATGGGACTTTAAATGAGGGAAAGGTAGTGGAGAAGAGACAATAAGTCTTAAGATCCTGCTTAGTGTTCCTGCACAGCAGCTGTTTTTCAAAAGTTTATGCTCCACTTACGAATGTTAATTGTACAACCGAGTAAAGCAGAGTTATTAATATACACAGAATAAGAACATGGAGTAATCCTATGGTCTTCTTGTCTTGGTAGACATAATGCCACCTACAAGTATCTGTTCAGACTCCAATCAACATTATCAGTAACAATCTAACTGAATACTTTTTGCCAAACCTTTGAAAACAAAATCAGCTAAAGGGAAATCAACAGATTTCCACAGTACATCCTGTGGACTCACTTTTGAGCAGCCAACTAAGCAATGTAAA